TATAGAACAGTTTGTACAAAAAAGCAGGCTGGTACCGGTCCGGAATTCCCGGGATGACTTGGAACACCTAAGTCTGTCAACAAAGCTGTATCTCAGAGTAGAAATGAGATGGGCATTCCACAACAAACTACATCACCAGAAAATGCCGGTCCTCAGAATACGAAAAGTGAACATGTGAAGAAGACTTTGTTTTTGAGTATTCCTGAAAGCAGGAGCAGCATAGAAGATGCTCAGTGTCCTGGATTACCAGATTTAATTGAAGAAAATCATGTTGTAAATAAGACAGACTTGAAGGTGGATTGTTTATCCAGTGAGAGAATGAGTTTGCCTCTTCTTGCTGGTGGAGTAGCAGATGATATTAATACTAACAAAAAAGAAGGAATTTCAGATGTTGTGGAAGGAATGGAACTGAATTCTTCAATTACATCACAGGATGTTTTGATGAGTAGCCCTGAAAAAAATACAGCTTCACAAAATAGCATCTTAGAAGAAGGGGAAACTAAAATTTCTCAGTCAGAACTATTTGATAATAAAAGTCTCACTACTGAATGCCACCTTCTTGATTCACCAGGTCTAAACTGCAGTAATCCATTTACTCAGCTGGAGAGGAGACATCAAGAACATGCCAGACACATTTCTTTTGGTGGTAACCTGATTACTTTTTCACCTCTACAACCAGGAGAATTTTGAATTTAAAAATAAATCCAAACATTTTCCTTCATATTATCAATGCTTATATATTCCTTAGACTATTGAAATTTTGGAGAAAAGGTATTTGGGTTCACTTTTATAGCATAAAATGTTTTAATATTCGGGGTTCGGCGGCGGAGGGTCTTAGAGTCGCGATCACGAGAATAGGTCCTGCGCGGTCATCCGCTCCGAGACGTCTGGCCCTGGCCCCGTCTCATTTTTGCCCCTGGTGTTGGGTCCATGACTCAGCTCGCCTGGTATGCCGTGTTGTAGCGCATTTTTAATCGTTTAAATATCATTGGTGCGCCACTGCCAACAGTGGACGAAGCATGATGGAATCGCTACGGGAAATACCTGTCACTGTAAGTCCAGTTATGCTTGTGACCACGTCTTTCCAAAACTTGCACGGACGTTTATAGTTTCGCCTAAAATTTCCGCAAACGTTTTAATGCGAGGGTGCACGTCTCCAGAATGTTTCTGAGTTTCGCAGAAAAAGTTGCTCAAACTTTCGGCAGCACTTTGGGAACCTTTGAAACTTCAGAAACATTCATCAACCTTTTCAAAGATGCCGGATCGCATTACAGCTCCGATCGAGGGTGGATGGAAATATTCCATCATTGAGGCCTTGCTTGCAGGATCCAACAAGGTCCACCACCGGGACCAATGGGAGTGCCGTTTGAGGCGAATATCAGAAAAATCAATTGTCAACCAGGATTTTACGGAGCCATGAGCCCTGGTAGTTGGGACCAAAGTTGTATGGCTCTGGGTCACAGGCTCTGGTACCCAGGGCCATTATTGGGACGTATTCTCCTGAATGCGACTCTCTTAGCTCTGTTGTAAGAGCATCCCCACCGGCACTTGATCAAATCAGCAAATTACTTTATTTGCTTTTTTTCCTCCGAAATGCAACCCTACTCGTCCAAAAACAGAGGAAAAAATATAGCACCCTCCGAAAAACGGAGGCAAATATCCGGAATTTGCCTCAGGTGCTATCCTACAAATAGTTTATGACTTTCCAAGTGCAAGTAAACCATTGGGCAACATCCCAGGGAATCCCCTCCTCGCAGAACGACACAGTATTTTTTTCACATCCTCTACGTCTGGCGCTCTGAGATAACGTGCTCCGAAACAACTAATCACAGCCCTCGCAAATCGCTTTAGACACTCCAACGCGGTCAGTTCTGCCATCCGAATGTATTCATCCACCGAGTCGGCTGTGATGCCATATGCAAGTAAACGCAGCGCTGCTGTGGCTTTCTGGTGGCAAGTAGATCCCTTTCGTTTCGTACAGTCCTCGCGCTGTACAAAATAAATATCACTTGTCGGTATTGCCGCGATAATTCTGTCGAACACAGACCGCGATATGCGGAATCTACGCTGAAAATGGTGAGCAGTGTAGGTTGGAGTTGGTGCAAAGTAATCATTGTGCAAACGCAGAGCAGCTGATTCTCTGCCTCTTTCAATATTTCCAGAACGACCAGCACGGGAGCCTCTGCGGATGACTTTGTCGTCACTGTCGTCGTCACTACTCGAGAAAAGCTGCATTGGGTCGTCAAGGAAGGAGTCATGAAACTCGTCTTGCAGCACATAATCCATAATGCCTTGATTGTCGCTCTCGGCGCGATGGTCAAACTCCTTAAACTTAATAACTGCGGCTTGACGGGTGTAGAAGACAGTGGTAGAGGAAAAACAGCAAATAGGAAAAACGTCAACTGACCAGGGAGAGACTTACACGTATGAAAATAGTTTTGCCTGTTTGCCTATTTGCCTTGGCGCCGGTGGGGATGCTCTAAATAAAGATGTAAAGGGGGGGCGCCCCAATTCTTGAACAGTGTCCTAATGTTCAAAACACCAATATTATTGGAAAAAAGTGTCATTTTTCGGGCCCATGTCCGCAAAAGACCTATCTCATCTAGCTATCACGTCTCCATGCGGTAAACGACGTGGATCAATTTAAAAACAAATATGTCAATTAGTTTCATCGATGTCTTCTACCCCACTGTCAACAAAATGAAAGAAAGAGCGGACAAACTTGAGCTGCTATTCAAATTCTTGTCACGAAGACCCGAAGTTGCCGCTTGGGCTTGGATGGCAGGACTGTCTGTGGACGCGTTCAAAGTGAGCGTTCGTCGATCGAAGAGAGACGTGCAGATGCGCGCAGGCGCACCTCGATGAAGAAGGCAATGAGGCTTCAGAGGCTGTTCAGTGCTTCTTTCCGTTCGCAGATGCCATGAACTAGTGACGTGGCAGTCGATTTTCATTCATACGTTGTCTGTTTTTGTTACTTTTTTTTTGGTTTGTTCGATCTTTGGGGCGATTTCTTCATGTCGAAAATTCGTGATATCTCTCGCGTCCGCGGCGACCTAGTAATTTTCTTTGTCCATAACGGCATTGCTGTGCAATTGTGTGGTAAAGAGCATATCGCACTGAGTTCGTGCATAAAATTATACCTCACACCGAGCTCAGGAAGGTATTTTTTAATTAAATACGTTGATTTTGTTCAATATTTGGGGCGCCCCCCTTTTAAGGCATATGATAAGGTACACATTAAGTTAAACACGAATAGAGGAGGGGGAGAGGAGGGTGGGCAGCATTCGAGGATGACACGCTGGCGGTGTATGTATTTCGGGACAGGTGGACCTGGAACACGTGCCGCATGATCAGACTGTGCTGTTCGTAGTAAAGTTTACTTTACGAAGGGTAAGGTTACAGAGTAAAGTCTCGATATCGTGAACCGAAATGTGGCGCTTCCGAGCAGCCCATTGAGTTCGCCTTACCGAGGCAGTTCACGGCGGCGGAACTGCTCGTGTACACGTGTACCCTTTTTACGGGTACAGTATGATTTGGACCACACCGGTGGAGACGCTCTTAGAGCGTCTCCACCAATGCCGATGATACGGTCACAGGAACACAAACTCACTTTCCTTCACTCTGTCCATCGACGGGCAACGTCGACGGGCAACGTCGACGGGCGCAATTCCATATCTGGACCACTTCACATTGTGATCCATCCTTCCTTTTCTTTTAATTCTGCCACATCCAGAGTCTATATCAGAAGAGTCAGCTCTCAGTCAAGCCATTGATCTTGGATTAGGGGATTTTGCGGCATTTACTGGCATTGAGCAAGATCAATTTAACGGTGATTCAGATAGTGAGGACGATCGCTCTACTGTGCCAGCGAAAGACCGGACAGGACGCAAACCGTCGCTTGCTCGGTATCGCGGAACATTAGAAGCTCTATCTAACGAACTCAGTTGTATTATGACGGACGCGAATGTAGTTCAATCGGGGCTGCCTTCGAGCATCAAGTCACTTCTGTATGAGGAACAAAGCCGCGTAAGGAGGCTTCAGCGTTCGAATCTGAGGCAAAGTCGTATGGATGGCTTCTGTAGTCGTTGATGGTTCGTTTCTAGTGCGCATTTCGGCCTCGATAAAGTGAACTCTGGGGTTTTCATGTTTTTGTATGTTCATGGTATCGCGTAGTTCATTCTATAGAGTCTAGTTCACGTTAGAAATACGAAAACGTCGATTCTGGGCCAAAAAAGCAGGGTGGCGCCTCCCTCATAGTCCTTCGGTTCACTGTACCGAGACAGTTCATCATATCAGGTACGCAGCTTATCGAGACTTTACTCTGTAACATAACATTACCCTTGGTAACTGCCAACGCCGCACTTCAACGGCTCCAAAACGCGCTTCGTTCATTATGGATGATGCAACATTTTACGGATGCGTATAATATATATTATATACATGTACAGTGCCTCCTACGATATAGTGCTATAGCGTGACATACCTCTAGCTATGGCACTATTGGGGGGATGGCACTATATAAAGGAGGCTCATATACATATATTTGGGGACAAAGCACACTGCTATCACAAACACAACAAAGCCTGTATAACACAACTAAACTTCATCCTTTGAGTACTGAACCATGCCGGATGATACATGTGTGAGCCTATGATAACCTGTGCCAGAGGGTGAGCCATAGCACTATAGAGGGAAGCACTACTAAAGTAGGCACTATTGAGCGACCCCCCCCTGTACCGTAGAGCATCCTTCCTCCTTCCTCCCCCTTTAGCCCGCGCGCGTCAAACACTCCCCGCAACCACGATGTCGACCGCTCTCCCGACCGGCGTGACGCGCAAAAGCATACCGTTCCTCCTCCCCGACATGCTGACCATCACCGACCCAGCCCTGATCCGCAAGGCGGCCAGCAGCCCGGACATCACACGCCCGGCCGACGGCGAGCTCCCGTTCATGCTGCGCGTCTTCTTCCGCGCCACCAAGTTCATTTACCTCTCTCGCGACGCCTGGGCGACCCCCATGCTCGCCGACGACCAGGACGGCCGGCCCGCGCGCCGCGCCGCCGCCGAGGCGCTGCTCGCCGCAGGCTTCACGCCCGCGCAGAAGCGCACCATCGCCGACCTAGTGGTGGGCGGCGCGCCGCTGCCAGACGTGCAAGAGTCGCTGATCCGCATCTTCGGCGACGTGCTGCGCGTCACGCCGCCGTCCGGCGCGCTGCCGGCCGACGTCGTGACGGCCGCGCGCTCGACCATCGGGGACCTGTCCGGGCTGGCGCCGCAGAAGTATCTGCCGGGACGCGCGGCGCGGCGCAGGCTCGAGGAGTACATGGAGGAGACGCTCCCGCGCGGCGCGGAGGCGCCCGGCGACGTCGCGGACTACGTGCACAACCTGTGCGCGACGACCGGGTTCGGCGTCGCGCTGATGTCGCTGAGGGGCGCGACCGCGCCGGACGCGCGCGCGCACTTCAGGGCAAACCCCGTCGTGTCGTCCGTGCTGCGCGTGGCCAAGAGGGAGACCACGCTCGGCGGCGTGCTGCCGGACGACGCGCCGCTGCGCCCGGGCAGCGTGCTCTCGCTCGCTAATGGCGGCGCGTGCACGGAGACCGGGGATGATAACTTCTTCTTTGGCGCCGGCGTTCCGGAGCGGCAGTGCCCGTTTAAACGGCTGTTCTTCGAGACCGTCGACGACATGTATGAGGAGGTTAAAGGGAAAGCGCAGGATTAAGACCGCCGCGTAGAACGAGGCGGTGCGTAGAATGTAGTGCGTACTACTGAGCTTGTTGGACCTAAAGAACTGTTGACTCGTTTTTGCACCTGAATCTCAAGACTGCGCATTGCTGTCCGTTTATCATTAAATTCCAACGTGGCCACGTGTACGTATCCCTCCTTACATAACAACTGTAAGCCAATACAGCATCGGTCCGCCATCGTCGGCGCCCTCCGAACCCCCGTCCCCGTCCCGATGTCCAACTCTTCGCCGCTCTTCGACGCTTCCCGTCCCTTCCCTGCTCTCCAAACCTCGTTCTCCCCCACCCTCCCACCGCTCTTGCCCCGCGCGATGGACGAAAACGGAAAGCGCCGCCGCTTGGACAGCCCGCATGGGTCGAGCCTGTACTCTGGCGACCGCGTACCGCGGCGCCGCGCCACGGACGCGTCGCCCAACCCGTACCTGTCGCACCGGCGCGACGCGCACAACCCGTGGACGGGGCGCCCGTACTCGGAGGCCTACTACGACATCCTGCGCGTGCGCCGAAAGCTCCCCGTGTATGACGCGCGCGCGCGCCTCATGGAGTGCCTGCGCGCGCACAACGTCGTTGTGCTCGAGGGCCAGACCGGCTCCGGCAAGACCACGCAGGTCCCGCAGTTCCTGGCGGAGGCAGGCTTCTGCGATGGCGGCATGCGCATCGCTTGCACGCAGCCCAGACGCGTCGCCGCCATGAGCGTCGCAAAGAGGGTCGCAGCGGAAATGGACGTCCGCTTGGGCGACCACGTCGGGTATAGCATCCGCTTCGAGGATCGCACGTCGAGAGAGACGAAGCTCAAATACTTGACGGACGGTATGCTGCTGCGGGAGGCTATGAAGGACAACCTGCTGAAGGCCTACAGCGCTATTGTGCTGGATGAAGCGCACGAGCGCACGCTGAGCACGGACGTCCTTATGGGGCTGTTGAAAGGTGTACTGAAGAAACGGCCGGACCTTAAGGTCGTAGTGATGAGCGCCACGCTGGACGCCCAAAAGTTCCAGGACTACTTCGACGGTGCCCCGCTGCTGAGCGTGCCGGGGCGTGTCTTCCCGGTCGACATCATCTACTCGCCCCAGCCAGAGGACGACTACGTCGACGCCGCCATCCGCACCGTCATCTCCATCTGCCGTAACGAGCCTACGGGCGACGTCCTGCTGTTTCTGACGGGGGAGGAGGAGATCGAAGAGAGCTGCCGCAAGATCGAGGAGGAGCTGCGGCCCTTCGAGCGCGCGTACGGGCCGGTGGTTGTGCTCCCGCTGTACGGTTCGCTGCCCCCCGACCGACAGCAGAAGGTCTTTGCGGATCCGCCGCCGCCGCTGTATCATGGAGGCCCGCCCGGACGGAAGGTCATTTGCGCGACAAACATCGCCGAGACTTCCCTCACGATCGACGGCGTCGTGTATGTTGTGGATACGGGCTTTTCCAAGCAGAAGATCTACAACCCGCGCGTCAGGGTCGAGAGCTTGCTAGTCCAGGAGATCTCGAGGGCCTCGGCAAAGCAGAGAGCCGGGCGGGCGGGGCGTACGCGTCCGGGTAAGTGCTTTCGTTTGTATACGGAGGAGAGCTTTCACAAGCATCTGATTGAGACGACGCACCCGGAGATTTTGAGGTCGAATTTGGGCAACGTCGTGCTGCAGCTCAAGACGCTTGGCATTGACGACCTCGTCCATTTTGACTTTATGGACCCGCCCGCACCGGAGACACTCATGCGCGCGCTGGAGCTCCTCAACTACCTGGGCGCGCTGGACGACGAGGGCGACTTGACCAGCTTTGGCAAGCTCATGTCGGAGTTTCCGCTCCAGCCGGAGAGCTCCGCCGCGCTGATCCGATCGCCGCAGTTTCAGTGCTCGAATGAGGTGCTCACTATCGTTGCCATGGTGTCGTCGGCGCAAAACTGTTTTGTCAGGCAGAAGAAGAAGGACAAGAACGCCATGAGGGGGCGGCCGCCGCACGAGCAGTTTATGGACGCGGAGGGGGACCACCTGACGCTGCTGAACGTTTTTCATGCGTACAAGGAGAAAGACAAGGAGAGAGGTGGGGCGAGCCAGTGGTGCTGGGACAACTATCTGAACCAGAGGGCGCTGCGGACGGCGGGTAATGTGCGGACGCAGCTGGAACGCACGATGCGCGGGTGCAACCTAGCGCTGGTGTCGACGGATTACCAAAGCATTCACTACTCGTCCAACATCCGACGCGCGCTGCTGAGCGGGTATTTCATGCACGTGGCGCACCGAAACGGCAAGGAGTACCAGACGGTGAAGGACAACCAAAAGGTGAAGCTGCATCCGTCGTCGGGGATGCGGGGCAACCCGGCATGGGTGCTATACAACGAGTTTGTGTTTACAAAGACGCAGTACATCCGGACGTGCGCAAAGGTGGAAGGCAAGTGGCTTGTGGAACAGGCGCCGCATTACTATGACCTGTCGAATTTTCCAGGGGGATCCGCCAAGGAGGAGCTGCGAAGGCTGTACCGGAAGAAGGCGAAAAGATCGCTTCCCGAAAACGAACGGCGCAGGGGGCGTTAACTCGAGACACTAACAACCATATACAGTACTAATTTCGACAGCGCGTTGAAGATAGATCATGCGTCGACCTCGGTGGACTTGTACAAAAGGGGATACGTGGAGCTCACTCGACGCGCATCCGCAGCGGGTGGGGGGGGGGGGGGGGGGTGCTGGAGGCGGGGGGAGGTGTTGTATAGCGGCTTGCCTCTGACTGCGTCAGCATATGGTTCTCGTAATGCTTCTCCGGCATTGCTCGCATGTTTTAGGTTGGAACCGTCGCTCTCTTGTCCAGCGACGAGTCGTTGATGCTTCCCATGAATGGGAGATGATACTGGTAGGAGTGACCAGACCATTCCTAGCAATTCGTAGCCTCGAGACAAGGGCCGAGGTTGGCGGAATCTCGTAAGATTTTGAACAACAATGGTTGGTTGTCGCGCCACGCCAACAAGGTGACTGTCACGAGTCGCCGCTCTAGATGACAGCGAGACATTTTTCCAAGGAAGCGTCACAGCGACTCTGCGCCGCTGTTGCGTGTCTTGGTTGCATTTTGCGTCGTAGACGAGGCGCGTCGGCGGCCTCGGAGATGCCCGCAAGTCTGCCGAGGCACCGTTGTGAAGATGAGTGGATCAGTCTGTTGCCGACGCGCTTGTTGTGAAAGTGGCGGCGCTCGTCAGGCCCTTGAGGGAAACGTCGGAAGCAAAACGCGTGCAAGGCGCGGGGTGGAAAGCGTGACAAGCGGTACTCTGGTATTTTCAGCGGCTGCGACACGCAGACAGATGGCACAGTCTCGCGCTAGAAGGCCGCGCCAGATCCCACCATCCCGCTGTGGTTGGTATGGTTTTTGCTCATAGCGAAAGAGGCGATGTGGTGCGTCAATAAATAGGTCTGATATGCATCATTTTAATTTTGTCACTACACACTAGCTAAACAACTCGCTACTCGGCACTCAAGATAGTATTCTCCCCGACACACTCACTGCCGCGGGCGGAACAGATGGGGCAGGCGTGCGGTGTACCCACTGAACAGTCAACAAGGTCGGGAGCGTCAGCGCTCCAGCGCAGGCGTGACGTGGCGTAGAACGGTGCGCATTAGGGCAGGCAAAGAAGAGACGGTGCCACGAGCAATCCCGGGGTGCAGTAGAGGCTGTGGCACACCGCAACGTGCTGCCCTTCACACGGCGGCATCAGCGCACGGAAACAGGAAGTGACTGATGAGATATTGATCGTGTTGCGCTATCCCGGCTCCCTAGCTAGACGCGAACAGATTGATGAGGCTGTTGCAAAAGCAGTGACAAAATAGACCAAACATGGGCACGTCCCATCGACACAATGACATCGAAGGTGACATCTATCTAATCCCGGGCGCACACGCCCTACCCATAATACCCGCCGCCCTGCTGGTACTCTCTGCCCTTGCCCATGGCGTTCAGCAGCACCTCCATGCCGGCCCTGGTCCTCAAGCGGCTAACCACAACGGCGTTCCACTTCGCCTTTGGACTCAGCACCCTCTCTGCGATGACGTCGCCCGCCTCGCCCGGCGCGGGCGGCAAGTTGAGCATCTTCCTCTTGATGCGCATCCTACAATTCCCAAACCAGTTATTCACGCTCTGCAGGCTCATGCCGCACGCGCCGCCGAGCTCCTTCTTCTGCGCGTCCGTGGGGAAGGGGTCCTCGACGTTGTCCAGGAACCACTTCTTGAGGCGCTCCCTCGCGCCATCGGAGAGCGGGCCGCGCGCGGGCGCGTCGCCGTCGTCGGGCGGCGGGAGCGCGCGCGCGCCGGCGGCCAGCGCGGCCTGCAGCGGGGCGGCGGTGAAGGGGTCCATACCTGTTGAGTCTCCCGCCTGAATTGGAGGGCGCATCTAC